AGGCCAGTCTGGATCAGGAAGTCTCCCTAGTAATGTAAGACGAATGCATCGGCCATCCACAAAAGCATCAATCTTTCTGACACGAACAGTCTCATTGCGACAGGAACTGAAAGTGCATCCATTATTCTTCAGCAAATTTCTTAAAGAGGTTCTAGCAACACTCCGCTTAGCGGCAGTATCTACTATTTCAGACCCCTTAAACTCAAGGACCTTCATTGGTAATCTTGGACGTGGCTTAGGATTGATTTCCATCAATACTGCAAAAATGTACTGACGAGGAGGAAGCAGCAGACTTACAAGTAGGGCAGCTGGATCTCACATATCCATTCCCTCCACCACCAAAGCATTTTAGTATCTTGTTCTTTCGCGAAAAGTTCTCCATATACTTTACAGGACTATGCGTACACGTAGTGCGGAATAATGCTACGGTATCTGCCCATGAGGCGATGCTATCTAATAGCGTGGTAATCCCACGAAGGGTGTTGACATGTGTAACGTGCGAGCATTCTTTGTAGGTTTCGACTGCATCGATAAGTGCATTAACGTCGCTGTCCTTATCCAACAAAACGGCATGAACAAGATTTCCACGTGGAGTAGGTATATTACTTAATCTATTAATGAGTTCTTGAAGTTGTCTCTGTGTAAGAATAACAGGATGCTTGGTTTACTTTTTGGTTTGTTTTCCACTCACAAAGTTTACAGTCAGTTGTAATGTTCCACGCGGAATGCTTATACAATTTTTCATTTTCCTGTTTCAAGGTAAAACTTTAAAATACCGAATTATTCTAAACGGGACGTAATTCGCAAAGCAAAACAATTCACACATCCTTACTCGCGTAAGTTCCACACGGCCCCACGTTGAGCGCCCTTTGTAGGGAGTTATGTTTGGTATATCGTATATCATTTTTTCTATTTCGATGTGGAAACAATACCGAAACCGTACTTGATTGGCCCAGTTTGCGTGCGTTTCTAGACAGAAATGATGCTGAAAGAAATAGAAACGCATTATTTTTTTTATTTTGTTGGATTGGTACCCCTCGCTTTTTTGCTGTCAACGGTATCCGTCAAATCAAAACTAAACATAACCTGTAAAGTGTAAATAACGTACGAGGAACTTGACCGATTGTATTAATTCCGATTAATTTTGAATATATACTCCAAAGGGTAGAACTTTTTTATTTTTACTTAGCGTAGTAAAATATGCCAGCAGTACATTCTTGCTTACTTTTTGAACTCCCTTCTCGGCCAGCCAGTTTTCAAAAATGTTGTACTCCTCGTACTTTACTTTCGATTTTACAGGCAGTAAATTTAACGTCGCTTCATTGGCAATCTCTTGGATCTCTGGTGGGGTACAAGAGACGTGTTTGTCATCCGTATTTATCATAACTGCCTCAAAATGGAATTATGACCAAATAATTAAAAGTTTGAAGTTTGAAAATACAGGAATCAGGTTAGCCAACGTGAAAATAAATGAATTGTGTCTATTACCAACATACACTGAATGATAGTTTAAAATTACCTAACAACGCCTAAAGGCAATATTTATAATTTGTATAATTTAGTATTTAAAATAAAAGTCGAAATAGAAAAAATAGTATAAAGCACACGTGTCATTTGTCTACTTGTCGCACTCGGCTTTTGCCGCATTCGCCGCTATGCGGCTTATGCGGCAAACTACCTCGTGCGACAATCTTCGTCAAATGACACTTGTACTTTAATATACTATTATTATTCAAGTTGTACAGTTCAACAAGATGCCCAGATGGGTAATCAGTTCAATTCTTGTCGTGCTCATAGGAACAGGTATTACGAGTGCTCATAGTGATAGAGTTTCAGTTCTGTTAGCAGTAAATCAACACGCGTATTTTATACAAAGATAAGCCATATCCATTAGATTCCTCTTATTATTATTTTGCAGTAGATTAGTTAAGCAAAGGTTTCCACGGCGCACCGGTGTGCACGTGGGAGCCCGTATCGGCTCGATTGCGAGTTGGTTATAACTACACGCTTTTGATTTTTTGACATGGAGGATCAAGATAAACTGTCCCATACAATTGTGTCCGAAATTATGATTGCTTCTAGCCAAGGAGGCAATCAAGTAGGTACATGCTCAATTAGGCAACACTGAAAACTTGTCAAATGAACATATTGAACGCGATATGCAATCCTTTGCATCCGACGTGAAGGAAAAGAATCGTTATGTACCTATTTCCTAGCAGAGAACAAAGAATTCGATTCCTAGCAATAGATCGGCTATCTAAAAATGACTAAACCTCTCGCCAGGAAAGATTGCCGGTTACAGAACACTTGATCCCGATCTACGATCTATGTTTTTCTAAAGATGTAAGCGACTTCCGGGATAGTATCGTGTCAATGTTGAACAAAAAGACTTTTCGTTCAACATTAGCACGATCCTATTCTGGAAGTCGCTCGCATCTTAAGAAAAACATAGATTGTAGATCGACACAAGGTGTGCTGTGACCGGCAATCTTTCCTGGCGAGAGTTATATGTAATTTCTGTGGGGACCCTAGTGGGGCCCAAAAATGTGATTTACGCATCTAGGCTATCTAACTCGAGAGTGTGCATATGTTTGAGCAGTAAGACACTTGTTGACGACTTTATTTCTGATCATAATGGCATTACAGTAGTACGTAAATTGGTTTTACCGGCAAAGATAATCATTTTGTCAAATGTTTCATTTTGTATCCCAAATGATCTACTAGCTGAAGAATTAAAACAGGCAAATTTAAAATTAGTTTCTGGTATCACTTGTATTAATGCCGGAATCCGAGATACGCTCATGTGCTAAGCTTTCGGCGATACACGTACGTTGCGTTGGTTAATAACGATACATTACCCTCTAGCATTCTTATTAATTATCAAGACAACTACTACTACAGATGAAATGAGGTGCTTCTCTTGCAAAGATAAAGGGCCCCTTGCCAATATTCAGTTGGGCATTCACCACCAACAAACTAACAGAAATATGAAAGATAGCGTTGCACATGTGCAATCCATTTTTGACGTGCTACTTCAACTTCAGTTTATAAGAAGAGTTTCATTTCAATGCTATTCTAAATAATAAAGTTGGAACTGCGCATGCGCAAACCTAAATTTTGAAACTGGCATTAGCTTTTCCTTTATTCCAAGTGCCTATGTATACAATTTCATCTAAATGCTTCCATAACTAAAAAAGTTGGCACTGCGCATGCGCAAAACCAAATTTTGAAACTGGCGTTACATTTGTTTTTATTCCAAGTGGCTATTTATCAAATTTCATTTAAATCCCTCCATAAATAAGAAAGTTGGCACTGCGCATGCGCAAAACCAAATTTTGAAACTGGCGTTAAATTTGCTTTTATTCTAAGTGGTATGTATCAAATTTCATTTAAATACCTCCATAAATAAGAAAGTTGGCACTGCGCATGCGCAAAACCAAGTTTTGAAACTGGCGTTACATTTGTTTTTATTCCAAGTGGCTATTTATCAAATTTCATTTAAATCCCTCCATAAATAAGAAAATTGGCACTGCGCATGCGCAAAACCAAATTTTGAAATTGGCGTTAAATTTGCTTTTATTCCAAGTGGCTATGTATCAAATTTCATTTAAATATTTTTATAATTAAAAAAATTTGCAATTCGGTTTATAAATGGTTGAGATGCGAAAAGGGCACTGTGAATTTTGAATCGATTCGACTCAACTTTTGGCATTGCGTATTATATGGCTAAAGCTATGCCCATATTGAATTTCATGCAATTCAGGTAATAAGTAATGGAGATGTAAAAGCGATCGGACATTTCTAAACAAAGTTACCGTTCACACGGACAGATAGAGGGACAGACAAAGGAACAGACGGACAGACCAACAGGCAGACGACAGACAGCAATGCAAAATTATAAACGATCTCTAGGATCGTTAATAAACAGCAAAAGTGTAAAATTGTGGAACATGTAAAAAACGGGTTTTTGTTTTTTTTACAATAACTTTTTTTGTAAGCCGTACAGAAAAAATTCCTTCCTTGGTGCAAGACTCGACAATGTGCAAAAGAGGATACATAATCAAAATTTTATTAAGTCAATTTGACGTTCACATATCGACTTCAGCAAGAATCCGGCCAGACCATAGTACCTACAAGAACGGCAAAATGCATTTTATAAGGTTTCTCATTATTTTCTCATTTCTCCGATAGGTACATAAAATTCCAATTTTTCTCATTCGTTTTTGTCGCGGAGTAGATGTTTGGAGGCAGCTTTAGTTTACAATTCGTTATACATCTGGGATCTACATACCTACATGGCCCCTACAAACTCAAAAATACCTCTTGTTATCTTTTTCAATTGAACTTTACGAATGTGAATAGATGCTGAAACTTTCGGAAAACTTCGTCAACAAGCCTACTTTTGCCGAAGGATAAAGCAGAATTCGGTTTTCTCGCAATGCTTTCAGATTTTTTCAATTTAGAAGTCATTTAATGACATACGGCGAGATTGGGTTTCATTTAGAGAATACCAAATTCTCACCCTTCCGCCTGCCTTTAATTGATTTCGATACGATTTTTTTAATTTGTTCCTTAAAGGAAAGTATTTCCAACCTATTGGAGCATACACACTATTCAATTTTAAGTATCTATTTCTTTTATATCCAGCCTCTTCCTTTAAAAAAAAGAGTTTAGAACATTAGAATCGCATTAATAAATAAGTATAGCATGGTAGTCAATCGGCGAAGCTTAACTAATGTCAAATATATTGCTCTTTTTCATTCGCTGTAACAATTCCAAGTTTTAATAACCTTGTTATTTATCAAAACGTTTTTGGTAACTCGCAATACGTAAAATTTCACTTAACTGATTTTGTCTCTTTAAATTGTTCATAAACTATTTTCTTATTCAGACTTATTCTGTGTTAAATTTGTGTGTCCGTGTGTACATGTATTTAGCTTTAAATTTTCGTGTTACTGAATTAAGTACCTATAGCAAACTTACTTTCAATTTCATTTCAGAAAACTATGGACAATCAGGTATTCAGGCATTCCGGGAATTAGCTGAAGAAGCCGATGTGTGCATAGCTCGTGAGGATTCTGTCCTTAGTAATGCTCCAGCAGAAGTTTTTGATAAAGTTATTATAAATCTTCGACAAGATGTTAATGCTCGAGTTGTCGTATGTTTCTGCGAAGGATTTACTGTTCGTGGACTTTTAATGGCTACTCGCAGGCTGAACATTAGCAACCACTTTATCTTTATTGGAAGGTAAGATTTTATGTCATCCTGTATATACCTAATTAGTTAGGCAACTTTGAAATTTTGGAAAATTTGTGTCCAAAGAAATGTTTTCTGTTTTTGTACTTCACGCAATAGCGTAATGACAATAATATTAGAGTTACTTACATAAAAGGTGCATTACTGGCGAGGAAATATTGAAGTACGAGGGCCGAGTACTTTGATTTTTTAGTCAAGTAATGTAATTTTACCGAAAATTGAACTATATCTAACAAAAGTGAACTCATTTATACGAATATTCTCATTTAAACTGGCATACGATCTCAAAAAATATCCAAAACTCCTACTAAATGGGTTCAAACATAAACAAGTTACACGATACAATTTTCCAAAGTACTTTCAATAAAATTTTTCGCAATTTCTTAAAAAGAATCGTTTGTTATTTTTTATACAAATCAAAAAATTTACCCTACCCTAATTATACCGTTTTCTACAGTCGCTGGTTCCCCTACTATACCAATTGATACGGCCCTTCTCGTAGGAATAGTGCCTTAAAGCTGGACTATATAAAATGAAACCTGGATCTCCGGAGGAACTACTGTTAACATTTTCTGGATATTGTTATGATTACCTCTTGTGCGATTAATCGGGCAGTGAACCGTATACTTTACTGCCCGCCTTCGTCCAGTTTTTGCTTTCACAATATAATCTATTAATAGCGTACTGTAAGGACAAACAAAAACTGATTTAATTTTTTCTTGAAACGTTTTGCAATTTACCTCCCACCGACATTACAACGTGATTTATTACCTACTTACTGTGTTAATTAAACCTTTAGTAATATTATTTACTGTTCAAACATAAAATTCTGCACAAGTTATCACTACGTTGGTTTTT